AGTGCCATCGTGACCGGCGAGAAGGTGTATGCGTCGGACGGGTACGCCCTAGACGAGAAGAAGTTGCCGGGACACGTTGAGCCGGGCATGGAGCAGCAGGGTCTTCTTGCCGATATTCTCTACGGGCAGTGGATGCAGGGTTTGAAAAGCCGCTGGCCACTTGCCTAATCTTCGCTTTCATCTCGTGCATGATCTGACGCGGTGATGTTGATGCGTGGGCTGAGAAATCTCCCTTTCTGCATAATTTTCAAATGTTCTTTTCGTCGTTGCATATTTCCTGCATATGCATCCTACCGGTGCCCTAGTAACTGGTAGTATTTCATTTTCATGTCTCTCCCTCCCCCTAATGGCAACAAAACGCCCCATATATCCGGCGACGACTGTTACGACCTCTCCCTACTCCTCACGGCCGACGCATATTCAGGCTCTATTACGAGCTTGAAAAAAAGTGTCGCTAACGATTGTCCCTCTCACGCATGATGAGATCACGATGGTTGGGTTGCCCTATTATTGTTATTGTATGTTTTGCTCCAGCGAACAAAAATTGTATGTTTGTGTACGATTTGGTGTCTGTATTTTTTTGGTTTGCTCTCTCCTTCGCGTCTATCATTACCTTTGCATAGTCAGCGGAGTTTTTTGGGCATCTTTTCTCTTTCCCCCCCTTTTTTTCACATTGTTATAGAAAAGATGACTCCTTTATATTTGGGCGTTTTTTTTTTTTTGGTGGTGGCGAAATGGCTGGTCCTCCCTTCTTTCCTTGAGAAAGTTTTCTCGGGAATGAGCTCCGAGATGCTTGATTAATTTGAAGCCGACGACGACGACGACAAGAAATAACGGCGGATGGCAAAGAAAAACTAGATTGTACGGGAGTGATGGAAGACGATGTTGTCATCGTCGTCGTCGTCGCAGTGTTTGTCTATTTTTATTTTGAGTTGAGTCGACGACGGGAAATTGTGTAGATAGTCAGTCGTTTGTGTGCATGTGTTGTGCGTGTCTGCTGGGTTTTGTGTGTAATACTGTTTTTTGTTGAATCTATGTGTGGGTCCTACTCTCCTTCATCAAACTTACTTTTTCCATGCTGTGTATGGATAGCTTCGACGTGAGTGATGTAATGTGTCTGTCTGATGAGTACATAGGAAGACTCGATCGAACAAACAGCCAACACTCAAGAAACTCTAGTTCAAATTCATAATATCCCAACCATAGAAGCCTAGCACGACAATAAAAAAATCCCCAAATTCCCTAATAACCCTATGTATCAATCGGATCCATCGCCAACCTCGTCCGTGCCCCCCACCCCCAAAATCTTCTAAACCCACCCCACAGGCCTCACCCCCCTCGCACCCTCCTCCAACGTTACCATGACTTCTACACCATCCTCCTCCAACCTCGCATCCCCACCACCCATCATCCCCCCAACCTCGACCCCCACGAACCCCCCATCAAGCTCAACAACAACAGCCTCTCCTCCCCCTCCCCCTCCCCCAACAACAAACCCCTCCTTCTCATAAACCTCGTCACAAGCAAACATCTCAATCCTACCGCCGTCCCCACCCAACTCTTTTGCTAGAGGCTGCACTTTCCCTTTTTCTCCTACTACTCCACCACCTTCTTCTTCTTGTTGTTGTGTGCTCTGCTGTCTCCGCAGTCTACGTCTGGAAAGGTAGACAAGGAGGATCGCGAGGACGACGACGGGGATGAGGATCGATGGGACGACGATGGCGGCGAGGAGGGAGTGGTATTGGGATTGTTTTCGGGATTGCGATTTTGTGGATGGTCTGCGGGAGGAAGAGGAGGGGGAGGCGGAGAGCGAGGTTGGTGGTGGTGGGGCTGGTGTGGGTGTGATGTTGTTGGAGGCGACTGGTGAGAAGGAGGTGTGTGGTTAGTTGTGGTATGGGTATGTATGGGGTTGGTCTTTTATATGATTGCGCTTGGAGATGATGATGGGAGAGGGGAGGGGGGAGGAAGAGCAGGTTAGAGGAAAGTTTGCCACATACATCTCGATAACTCCGTACTCCTTGCACAATAACTTCTAAAGGCGTCCACAGCACTGGTAGCATCCGCTTGCCCTGGCGCCTGTCCCTGCTGCTGCGTCTGAGTCGGTAGCGGTCCGCTCACAGCAGCATTCCTGGCACTTGCGCGTCTAGCAAACATCATCCTGTTCGAAGTAGGGGCAGAAGCAAACATCGTCGTCACCGCAGGCGCTGCTGCTCGCCTGCTTGGCCGGCTTCCACAAGCACTCTGCACCGCCGTGGAGATGATGGACGCATACTGTGTGCTCGAGTCGATGCAGAAACAGGAGAAGGACGTCAGCTGCATATTGTCCCCGCAACCTAATTCCTGGGCCCGGACGATGGCGCTCACGCGGTCTTGGGCGCATTGCTGGAGTGAAGTGTAGAGTGGGATTTCGTCAATGTAAATGTGGGTTTTGCCGGCTGCGGAGGCAAGCGGGATGATGGCGGAGAGGAGAGTGATAAGAAACGGTGGTTGCATTGGGAGGATGGGGTATTACCCTCAGTATTGTGGATTTTGAGCAAAGTGTTGATGTCGATGCGTGTATATGGTCGTGGTCGTGGATATATTTTGCATTCACACAAGGGATAGGAAAGATACTGTAGAGTGTTGGGATTTGGGGAGCATACATACCAGACACCTTCTTAACCAGCATCCAAACGAGGCCTTCAACTTGAACGATCCTTTATCTCGAAGAAACAGTTGCCTTCTACAAGACTGCAACCGTTTGGCTGACGCAAATACCATATTCTGCGCCCGACCCAGGTTCTCTGCATTTTCATAGGGGCTGCGACAACGTGGCTGGCGCTGGGGTAAAGTAATGCTGGTAATGGAACGTGGGAAATCCGCATAGGCATGTCGCACATGGTGGCCTTGCGTTCCCCATAGCTCCACTAGATAGCCGCGTAGCTTAAGGGCTCCCGTTTCGTTGGTATGCAGGGAGTGCTTATGAAAGTTTGAGAATGTTCTTTCATGTCACTGTTCTTGTTCTTTTGGGGATAGTTGGCTTTGAGTCCCTAGTCCTTTTATACATGTACGAACACTCGCGTACACTAAACCCGCTTTAGGCAACGGGGTTTGTTGTATCAGCCACTGCTGCCCCACGTTCCAGGTATTGATTTGACCCAAATCTTTTTTGGCATTTTAATGTTGGTTTTCGGTGCCGATCGGAAGATAAATATTGTATTGACCGGCGTGCGGCTCCGGGTTGGTGTCTTCCGACCTCATGGTCCAGTTGGAGTTGCGTGTTGTCGGTGTTGCGACTACTCGTCCTTCCCAATCCTCCATCTTTTTGAAGTCATATCGGAGCTCCATATGCAGGTTATGGGATGAGATGTCGCGTAGTCTGCACAGAGCAGATGCACGCTCAGTCACTTTGAAGTCAATTGATGTAGCAAGTAGCCGGCGAGCCCTCATGAGAGAGCCACAAGCCACATCATGGCTCTACTCGTTTGAACGTGTCTACAACGAATATAAATATTTGAATGAAGAAATTTTCACCTTTTGTATACACGATAGAAACAAAGATGAGTGAGGTGGAAAGTTGGCGAAGTGTGAAAATTGCACATGCAGCTTCCATGGAATCGGTGTTGGTCGTGATTTCCTCAAACCAGTCAGATGCATACATAGGTATCGAACTAGGAAATCACGTGTAACATACCCATGTACCTTCGCGACTGCTACTATCACGCTGAGGCCATGTTTGATGAATTGTTTTGTACAGAAAGTCTCGAGATTGTACATGAATACGTCCCTGGCACTGATTTTTGGGTTTATGGATCTACACAAAGCTTAGCTGGCTCGAAATAAGTAAATGTATGCCTTGAAACAGAGGACAACAGAACGGCATGATCTCTGCAGATGGCCGCCTGGAACATATAAGGTCTCGAACATAAGGCTCCTTCACGCTTCGCACGTATCTATCGATAGCGATAAACGTCCTTCACTGAAGGACAAGCCCCGAGAGAAATCGTAAAATGTGAATTTTGCAATGTAAAAAAATAATAAGTCACAGGTTCATTTTACAATGTAACAGTGCAAATATGATGTTACGACGTCCAACGGAACGTGAGCAAGAGTATGCTGATTGGAGCGGGGAGAAAGCTAAGAGGACTACTTCCCTCCGCCTAGTCGACACCTTTTTCGAAAATAGGCATATGACCGTACCGTGAGCTGAATGATGACCGCCGACCTAGCATTTTTGCCTTTTTTTCATTGCAGCAGACACCTTTCGCCTTAATACAATGGATGTCATAAAGCAGGGTTATAGTGCAGGTAGACATTCCGCGTAGGCAAATCATATCGCGTCGGCAGCGTAGGATAATTACCTTAAACGGGAGTATGAATCGAACGCGGACTAGGCGATAAGTACGACATTGCTTCCGACATGGATTTCCAAAAAAATAAAACTTGACCGAATTTGGATGGACGAGTACTCGGGTCCATCGTACTAGGATAATATAGGATCCTCGAGATCGCGTTTAAAGACAAACTTGTGCGAATCTGTGATCTGCCACAGGATCAAAAAGATTATAGTAACGCATCGATGATGGAGGAATGTTCAACCGAGCATCGAAAAAGTGGGCAGTTTTCGGAAAGCGTTGTGCTTCGGCGATACCGCACTTCGCAAGTTCGGTTTGGTTTGGTGGATAGGTCGCATGTCAGCGCACGCCCTACGGTGTCTCAATATGTCAAGCAAGGTGTTCCACATTTTTGACTGATCAAAATGCATGTCTTGGTGTATCTCACTAAGCTTCCACCTTTTTCCTATCGTAATCAGAGCAGTTGTGCCCATTACGTATTTTGATGATAAGCTCATATTTCTCAAGCGCTAGTTGATGATTTTCGCAGGTTGGCTCTTCCAGCTTGAACGGAAAAATGGAGGAGAAAAGGGCGAAAGGAGGGCAAAAAACAAAGACAAAAAAAGAAGGTGAATAGCCCGATGCGGGGGTCTGAGAGTGGAATTAGTCATGTGGGATTCGAACACTGGATATATATGAGACTTACCGAACCCGCAACCTTGAGATTGCTTAAATCAATCGTTTCCTGAGAAGGTGATCTCGTTAAGAGTCTCACGCTCTACCGATTGAGCTAACCAGGCTTATTACTGATTTGATGGCATCATCTCAATATAATTTGCAACATATAGCATGTTGTTTTTGTGAAGACCATGTTACCACCCATATCCCCGTTCTGGAAAATGGTCTGTGGGACCATTGTGGGTGGGCTAAAATTTTCGGGAGCCGAGTCGGCGAAGTGCATGTCCCTCTCGCCGGATCTAACCAGACTAGTCACGAATCAATATCACCGGATCAAGTCTTGTATGTTGCGCATCATAAACGGTAGCCTTTTGCGAGATGTTGTCTCATTCTGTATCAGGTAGTAATGAATACGTTTGAACCTTTCTTCAAAGGAAATGCAAGTCTTCGTTGTGTTATCCAAACAACCCACCGACTTCGCCCCATCATATCTTCGATTCACACCGTTGCGTCCTCATCGCACGACAGTTCATCGGGTGGTACCCTGTGTATCCGTGGCCCAGAAGTTGTTTGTACCCCCGTATGCCTATCTCCTGTCGCTTTCCTGGCTATGCTTACAAGCCGCTGCCACTTCTCCAACACTGCGAGTAGAGTACAGGCTTTTGGGCTCTCCGTTCGCGCATTGGACGGCAGTCTCGAGGCGGTCATCCCAAAGTATATAGGTTTTCTGAAATCTATGACAGCAGGGGCTATCCTTGCGAACATCGTCTTCGAACGCTGTGCCGGATGATGCTCTGAGGGGTATACATTTGTGCGTTGCTGAAGGCAACGGATCAAACGCTCTTGCTTGAGAGATTACTGTTTGTTATTAGCTTCATGGAAAGCATTTCTCCGAATGACTTACATACTGTCTTAACGAACTGTGTCTGTATTCTTATCTGTGGCCGCCCACGCTCGTTCATGGTAACAAAATCGCCAACGGGCCGTGGAGGAGAAGGGTTGTAGTAATTCCAAGAAATTGTTGTACTTGTGGGTTGACATAGGCTCATGATGGGCCTGAGGGCTTTCATCTCCTCATGCTTTTCCTTTTCCGCATCGAGTTGGGCTCGCGCGAGTCGTTTCGCAAACCACTCAGTCCGCAATTTTCGAAGATGTGGGCCGATGTAATAGCCTTCTTCTTGCTTTTCCTCTTGCTGAGAGCGCCATTCTAAGTATCGTCGCTGTACTCGGCGGTAGTGTTGCTGCATTTTGACTGGTGATAGTGTAGTTGAGTACGTGTGTGCCGAGGAAATGCTCTTATTATGTCCAGCTGTCGGATCGGAGCTGGTATTGTAAAATGATGATGATACCATTATTAGAACTCGCACGAAGGTGGAGAGGCGAGATTGAGGCGGACAATGTTACGCCTCAGTACTTGAAGAGTGATGATTACGGCACAAGCGGCGAGGTGAACCAAGCGTAATATGCCATTTCCACGATTTGTTCAAATGCGACGCCCGCTTTGCATGTAATCGGATCGGCACCAGGTAGTCGATCAGAACCAGTAAGCAATCGAATGTGGGTATCCACGAGATGCTGCCAGGGTTGTTCGAAGGGCATGTTTACTTGGAAAGGCAAAACCTTCGTTGCGTTGCAGCGCAAGGGTCTATGCAATGCACGGTCATCTCGACATCCGCCCGGGGCTTGGTTACGGAACGGTCGGGGGCCATTAGGAATCTTTGTGGTGAACATTCGTCTAGTTGCTATCTTTGACCCGCATACATGACCGCATCAACACCGCTTTACTATTACTCTGAAGGAAGCAGCATATCGAACCACCGTCTCCTAGTTGTTCTGTTCATATGTTTTTGTTGGAGGCTGACGGCTGATGGGTGCGGCTGCTGTAATCGTGACAGTCAGTCATATAGAATGCTTGTGTAGATACTGGCTTGCAAAACGACACCTCTTACTCGTTATGATTCGTTATGATTCGTAGTTTCACATTGATGTTCATGTTCAATTTCGCGCCCAGAGGCTAGGATACCAATCGGAGATGATTATAGACAGACAGAGACATTGGATGCCTGGAAAAACCAAGAGCCGTGAAGTCTAACTAGTCGAGGACTCAAACCATTTAGCATTGATGCACACGACTAACTGCATGCGCAATACGGTAAGCTGGTTGCTAATCCCCACACGGTACAGCTTACAAAGAACACGTGAAATTTACGGTCCAGATTTAAAGTATGTTTTACCTTTTCACTGATATCCTGCAGGTTGAAATCTAATTGGCCACCAGTTGAATCATCGATAGCTTATGATATAACAACATCATTCCGTCCCGTCTTCCCTCGTATAGAAGATATTTAAAGATCCCGCATTTATTCCTTGCTCTGTTGATCATGGCATATTTTATCAATTGGCAATATCGGTTGACTTATCGTGATATCTTATCATTAATCAATAACTGGTTCCTCGAAAATGTACAGAGGCACAGAGGTATATATAGACACGTTTCATCTCGCTAGTATTCCTCCGATGCAAGGATTACACGCGCTTGCCATAAACTCACTCGATATGGATTGATTATCTAACAAGGGGCTAAGAAGTGCCCCGCAAGGTGGAACGAAGGCGAACGTGTTCGTTCTAACTGTTTGACGTCCCTCATAGTATAGCTCTTCTCGGCCACTAAACTGTTCAATTACTTACCGCATTGGAAGAAACGCAGGAATTCAATATTCTACAAAGGAACGCATTGCCTGTCCAAAGCACCCGTGATTAAAATAGAAAGCTTCGCGTCATTTCCCGTCAGACTGTCACTTCCTTGTCCGGAGACATACCACACCGGAATTTTTCAATCTTTAAATCATGAGCGCACGGATCATTCCATATAAGATTGCCGTTCCCGCTAAGGCCCTCGAAACGCTCCAAAAAAAGCTCTCGCTAGCAAGCTTCCCCGGAGAGACCGCTCAATCCGACAATTGGGCTTATGGGGCTCCAAGAAACGATATCAAACGCCTAGTTGAATATTGGCAAACGACATTTGACTGGAGGCGTGCAGAAGCCGAAATCAACAAGCTTCCGCAATTCACTGCATCCATCTCGGTTGAAGGACATGGACCCCTCCAGATTCATTTTGTTCACCAAAAAAGCAGCAAGGCAAACAGTATTCCTCTTCTGTTCTGTCACGGTTGGCCTGGGAGCTTCCTAGAAGTCACCAAAATCCTGCCCCTTCTTACATCTAGCGATAGCGACGGCGAGCAAACTTTTCATGTCGTAGCTCCCTCTCTACCTAATTTTGGATTTTCGCAACGCACATCGGAGCCTGGATTCGGAGTGCAGCAGCATGCAGAAGTATGCCACAAATTGATGTTGGAGCTTGGGTACAACAAATATGGTACGCCTTATTGTTTCAATCTCCCAAGTTCGTTCGCCACTAATGTGCATTCGGGAAACAGTCACGCAAGCAGGGGATTTGGGCTTCTTCATCAGTAGAGCGATGGGAAGCCTCTACCCAGACAATGCTCTTGGCTCACACATGAACTTCATCGTCACCATACCCCCGTCTCCGATTTCAACGCCTTTTTTGGTCCTGCAATACCTTACCGGCATGCTCTCGGCTGATGAAAAAGAGGGCCTCAAACGATCACAAGAATATAACGACTCCGGATCTGGTTATCGGATTATGCATCAGACTAGGCCTCATACGATTGGATATGCTCTAGCAGATAGTCCCGTGGCGCTGCTGGCGTGGATCTACGAGAAACTTCACGACTGGACAGATAACTACAACTGGACGGATGATGAAGTCCTCACTTGGGTTTCTATATACCTATTCAGCTCGGCCGGTGCGGATGCTAGTGTGCGCGTCTATAATGACCTGATGAGCCGTGAGGCGGATATCAAGGTCGAAGCCTTGCTGAAATATACAAAAGTTCCTTTGGGTATCTCTTACTTCCCACGGGATGTGATAGTTTTGCCTTCTTCATGGGGAAGGACGTTAGGGCCGGTCTTGTACGAGAAACGACACAAGGAAGGAGGCCATTTTGCCGCGCATGAGAGACCTGAGTTGTTGGTTGCCGATGTCAGGAAATTTGTCCAAACACTCAACATCTCTGCATGAAACGTCGGTGGGTGGGACTCTGAAGAAATTTCCATGAAACGGTCGCCCGCCAAAGGCATTTGAATATTAGGGTTATGTGTCGAAGTGTAGGAAGGTTGTAGTGTTTGAAAGAGCGTGATGTGTATTTAATGTCTATATATCAATACGAAGCTCTCGGAAGACAGTGGAAGTTAGACTTAAACACGGCAGATTTTTTAATACTCTATGTAAGGAAGCAGGTACTCTTTTAACAAATTTTTAAAAATATATATTATATATTATAGAATGCTATAAAGATTTAAATACTAGTAGAACTATAATACCTAGAGGTTATATAGTATGTTAGGCTATGTTATCTTGTTTTTCTTAAGTACAACTTCCACTGTCTTCTAAGAGCCAACGTTGAAGTATGGGCCTTAAAAGCTTGAGAATTTATTGTTCCCCTAACATTCACCGGCAAAGAGAGGTTATCCCATATATTGATATCTCTGTGGCCCTGTACAAAAGCTCTGCCGAGGCAAGGCATATATTGTGGTTGGTTCGGCCGTTGTCCGGTGAGTGTGTTTCGGCTATAGAAGCCAACCTCCGAATTACTATCCGTGATTAGTATCCGTGTTTCCCCGCATTTACATCCGCGAATCCGCGGCTTACCACTACATACTACTTAACGTCGAACGCTCGAAGACTTTATGCGTGCCATTCTATCAATTGCACTTTCTTTCGGATTTAAGTCTTCTCGGTGGTTGAACCAAACGTAGCTGCAACTATGGCCCAAGCGCAGATACCAAGGAAATTATGGGAACACCCAGACCCATCTAGCACGGCTATGTACAAGTTTCTCGAAGCCAGCAACCGCAAGTATGGTATTGATATGCGAACCTATCGAGACTTATACAATTGGTCGGTTGGGCCAAAGCGTACAGACTTTTGGGCGCATCTTTGGGAGTTTGCGCCGCTGATACACTCCGGCCGTTTCACCGAGGTCGTTGACACCACCATACCGATGGAAAATATACCAAGCTGGTTCAATGGCACATATTT